AAAAAAAAAAAGAAAAAAATCTGGCAAAATTTCGAGATGCAAGAGGATCTGGTTCTGATTAGAAATCGAACCAGAAAAGTTTGCAGCTCGTCGAATAACGTGTAATTCCGCACGCGAGATAATTTGAGAATTTTTTTCACGCTTCGCCGAGTTTCTTAGCTTTAACTGGAAGGCAGATTCCAACGAGTAAAATGTAAAGTGCAAACGCGTGGCGTGCAATTTTTAACACGAGAGAGATAAAATTAACTGTTGCGGGATAAAATATTCACGTGTAGATATCACGCATCAAGAGTTTCTATTTCATTCCAGTTCCAGCGTAGAAACGTTCCGAAATACACCGAGCTGAAATATAAATGTTCCATAAATATCGAGAGGCAGCTGCGAAACAGAAAAGATAGACAGCAATATCAAAAGTACGTAAATAAATAATATAATAACGTATAAATAATTTTAATAATACAATTTTATAAATATCAATTGCATCGAGTGCACCATCAGAAGATGTTGAAAAGCTACAAATATGTTCCGTGAAATATATCGAGAATACTACGAAACTATTTCAAGGAAAGTGAATGGAATATCAGGAAAGAAATATACCGTCCTCTTCTTCGAAATTCTTCGAAAAAAAAAAAAAAAAAAAAAAAAGAAAGTCGTGTACTCTTTTCGAGTTTCTCTCTATTTGTGAAAACTCTTGTCCGATCGAAGGGATTCTCCGAAGCACCGGCCCATGGATCGTTATCTCTCTTATATTGCCGGAGGGACGGAGAGCGACGAGAGAGAAGCGGAGAAGTGGAACACGAGTATCGACGATCGAATTTAACCGAAGCACCACGGGCCATTAGTCGCTGCAAGCGGGAACACGCTGGGATTAGAGGGGCGGAAAGACGGACCAGGAGACGCGGATGCACCGGGGCCGGTTCACTTTAAGTTCGAATACCAAGCCTGTCTATAAACAGTTTGGTGTTCTACCTTACAGTGAGTCGACCGTGGTATCGTCGACGTTCCATGCGAGAAATATAGAGAAAGATAAAATAAATGGACAGAGAGAGAGAGAGAGAGAGAGAGAGGGGTGAAAAAAGGGCGGATCGATAAGCGAAAAGCGTGCTGTTACGAAGGAAGAAACGTATCGCGTTACGTGTCTAAGTGGAATAATCACAAAGTCGAAGGAGAAATCCCTGAAACGGGCCAGCCCCGATCTTCGATCTTCCGTTTAACGATTCTCTGCCCCACTCGCAAGAATGTTCTTCGAAAGAAGCTGTTGCTGCTTGCTTCAAGTTTCAATAAATTCCTCTCGTTGTAACGTTATGCGTATCTTCGTATAGCGTTGTCATTTTGATAAAATTTTTTTAACAAAATCGCGATCTCTGGAATTCAGGAGTGAAAGAAAATTTTCGTCGCGTTATACTTTTCTTTTTTTATTTTTTTTCACTGCCGATAAGGAAGGAACCACGTCGCTTGTAAAAAGATCTAACAGCAGAGAATGGTCAGGATGGCCAATTAATTGGCCATTTGGTAATAACTTGGTGGTAATTTCTTGGATATTTCACAGGTGCAAAGCAATGTATTTTTTTTTATAGATTGAAATGATTTTTGAAATGTATAAATGGAAGCTTGTGCACTTCGTTGTACTCTATATTTCTCTATAACATATCGCTGATGGAAATTCTACTGTTTTCAATCGCCGGTGTTAAATTTTCTAGGAAGATCTAATTTTAAATTTACGAACAGATGGAGCGTCCATCTCCGAGGAAACGTTGAAAATCGAGAGTACTTCTGCTTCTCGAATTAATGGCCTAAGTAAATTCAATACTTGCAGATCAAAGTACGGAAGAGACTTACTTTTCCATTAAAGTTTCTTATTTCGAGCAAGTACACCGCGCGACAAATATATGAAAAAAAGAAAAGACGGGACGAGGTTGTTAAAAGGATCGATTTATCGTTCGTAATAATGACTCGAAGCTTCAATGACGTTTCCGTAGACGAGTTCTGCAACGAGTTCCCGCACAATCTGGTGCCGACGCCTGGCTACTGGATCGAGTGCTCGAGGCAGCAGATCACGTCCGACACGATCTGGGACGAAAGCGAGAGCGGCGAGGCGACCGACACCGAGCTGGCCGAGGTGCAACAGGAATCCGACACCGACGAACTGCCGAGGAAGAAGACAACCATCGAGGAACAATGGGAGAAGAACCAAGGGTTCGAGCTGACCTCCGTCGAGCAGGAGACCTACGAGAAGTACTTTTACGGGACTGAACACTGGAACTACTTCACCAACGACGAAGACCTCGGCCCGGTGATACTGAGCATCAAGCAGGAGACGTTGAACGGCCGGGAACAGTTCAGGATCCTCGTCAGGGCTATCAGTTACACCGTCCACGGGCTGATTCCAGCGAGCTGCGTGTTCGCCGACAGGTAATCTCGCAAGTTTCTCTTCTCTTCTCGTTCAGTGTGTATCCTTTTCTTTTTTTGTAACATTTAATTCCTCATTAGTAAAGAGAGATATAAATAATCCACGTGACTGCAATGGCATGGAAGTGTAATTCGAGAGGATGAAAAAAATAATCGTATTAAAAAATATCCATCAGAATTCGGGGAAGATCGGCTGTACGTGTTGATCTCTTGAAAATTTTGAGGTTAGATCTCCGTTTGAAGATTTTTATTCAAAGTATGTTTAGAGAAAAATGTTCTAGGCCATTGTCAGAAAATTCGGGAAAGATTCTATTTCGAAACGGGTGAGTTGACTCAGACAACAACGCGGATCAATGCGTTTTGTAAATTGTTCGTCGGCACGGAAGTGATCGTGTCGTCCATTTGTCAGACAAACGAGAAAAATCGGACAACTTGTTAAGAAACTGCATTAGCGAGGATACCAAAGATATTTTGACGAAGTCTGGCACAAATGTTAGTTTTTGACACTTTTTTTTTTTCCTATCTAGGGCTGAAAACTAACATCAAAGCCGGAACATAATTAAAAATAATATTCTCGTGTAGATCGATGAAACTAGTATTTTCTTCCAACTAAATCAAGAATACATCTTCTTGAATATTTATTTACAAAAGACTGTACGTAATCAAGCATAAATTGGGATCTCGGTGAAAAAAGAAATTCGGAAAATTGCAGAATTTGTAGAATTAGGTAGAAACGTGGATTTCCAATTGAAAACTCCAATTACGTAGGGGATTTTTAACGAAGGGTGAAATGAAAACGGAATATGGCCGTCAGGCGAGTAGTGCGAGTCGAGCATTACGCTCGCGAGCGTGATACACGCGCATCCATTGGCACAGTTTAGAAACTAAACAGCGTAAGTAGCCAATGATAATATCGCGGATCTCCAAGCGGATGCTTTAATACCGCTTCAATTAGGTTAAACTGCGTTCGGCTGAACCGAAAGGAGAAATTAATTCCGCGCTTCGGACACTGCACAGAAGCAACGAAATAACAGAATACAGGAGCTTCAATTTCAGCACGGGTCTTTGGTCGTTCTATCGGTAATTACGTTAACACTTTCAGAACAACCTGTACCGTTGAAATTTAGAGAGAAAGATAAAAAGAAAAAATAAAAATAACTCGGTAAGAGATGTTACGTTGTGAGAAATGTTTTTTTCGAGAATATTTCGAATTGTGTTGTGCGTTCAAGTATCTTCGAAAGCACATAACCTTCGTCGTTACGGAGTACAAGGTGAGGCCGAAAATATCGCGTACATAGGTGGAAGGTGATGCCTAAAGATAGATGGAAAGTGTAAAATAAAGTTTCGTCGTCCGAGCTTTAATTCCCCCTGGAAAATAGATTTTCAGATAATTGGCCGGATGAAGTGATGTCGTTGATAAAATTCCCTTCCCCCTGCTCAGTCCCTGGTTTAATAACACGTAAAAGTCGCGTGTGGGTGTTTTATATAGAAACAACAAGCATTATAGTATCAATCGGTAAATCGGATTTTAGCTATACATATATATATACTTATGTATAATTCCCATTAATGCTGCGTTAAATGTTGAAGCTGTTATAATTGAAAGGAAATCCAACAAACTTTCAAAGCTTGAAGCCTTTATTGTCTTCTTGAAAACGTCTTCAAACTTCGATAGTACGTAAAAACAAGTAGAAAAATTTTTTTTCTCACGACTGAAGTCTTTCCTTTAGACTCCCGAAAACTCGATTTTCGATGAAATCGATAACATTTTCGTGGACGTCCAAAGTTCAAGAAATCGATTCAGTCTCGAAGGAAATTATTTCTTCTTAATGCTTTTCGAGAAGGAAATCTTCAGCCTTAAAACAAGTTTATTATCGTATATACGAAGTTTCTTTTTGCAATTTCAGTATTCAACTTAGACTCCGAACACATCACTGTGTGTCATTTTCATTCAATCATTTTTAAAAACATTTTTAATTTTTAAATTTTCATCACCTTCTGCCTGATTCGACTAATTATTCTCGGCATTCTTTGTTGTTCTCGAGTTATAACAAGTGTGTGTCTATATATTAAGTCACGTAGCGAAAGGGTTGAACCGGTGGTCAATTGAAAATCAATTGAAACACCATTTCTCTCTCTCTCTCTCTCTGTCGTGTAAAAACAAACATCCACATCGAGTTGCTCAATTGTCACAGGTACAATCGCGAGGATGTGGTACGCAGCTTAGGCAAAGAGGTGAACGTGAATCCGCCATTAACGTTAGGTCAATTGCCTGACACTCAGGACGAGCTGCTGAAGCTGGATCAGGTGTTCATAAAATCGGAATTGAAAGTCGGTGTGCTGTACGTTCAAGAGGACCAACGCACCGAGGAGGAGGTGTTGGACAACCACGAGAACTCGCCGCTATTCGACGAGTTCCTGCAGATACTCGGCGATAAAATACGGCTGAAAGGTTTCGACAAGTACAAGGGCGGCTTGGACACCGCTCACGACCTCACCGGTTTGTACTCGGTGTACACGAATTGGCGAGGCATCGAGATCATGTACCACGTGTCCACGTTCCTGCCCAACGAGAAACACGACGTGCAAAGGGTAAAAAGTCAGACTTTGCTTTATGCTTACGCGCGATATTACGAAACGCGTCTTCACCGGGTGGTCGAAAAATCCCTA